TACACTGACCTGAGCAAGGACGTCTGGTGGAGTGTTGCATATATAAATAATGTTGTCATCATCTTCATCAGTATATACCGCGTAAGCGAACTGGCGCGAGTCGGATGAGAGGGCAAGGGTGATGGGACTCTGGACGTCGAAGGAGGCGAGGAGCTGGCGGGACTCAAAAGCACAGAGCTTGATGGTGTCATCTAAGTCAGCAGCACTGAGCAGGAGAGCACCATGAAATGAAAGTGCTAGGCTAGTGATAGTTAACGTTGATGTATGGCCTTCAAAAGGAGTTCCGACGGTCTCCAGCGTCGATGTGTCAAACTCGTAGATTGTCCTGGTGTCGTCATCCTCGGTGAAGCTGAATGTGGCTATGATAGTTTTGTTTTTGTTTGTCCAGAACATCGATGCGTATGTGCCTTGATTACTAAATTTTCCTATCCTCACATCCAAATTATGTGTTTGGACATCCCAGACTTCGAGGAACTTCCCCCTCCACGACATCATGGCGAGCTTCTTCGCATTTGTTGAGAATCGAACTGCGCTCACCAAATCGACGCTCTTGAATGGACCAGCCACAAGTTTGCCAGTGTCCAAATTCCACATCCGCGCTGTAAAATCACTTGCTCCGCTTGCAAGTAACTTGCTGTCCATGGAGATATCAATGCAGCAGATGATCGTCTGTGGGTAGCCTTCGAATATTTTCTCAATCCCTGTTTTAGTCTCACAAGCTTTTAGTTCCAGATGTTTGGGGTCTCCACCAACATTGACAACCCATCGACCATCCCTTGATACCGCCACTGCTGGTATTACCTTATTCTCGTAAACATCCCGTGCTTCCTGAATCTCCTTGCCTGCCTTCAGATCCCATTGTCGAGCAGTCTTGTCAAAAGATCCGCTAATCATTCGCTGGCCGTCTGGAAAGTAGGACATGGATTGAATCCGTTTTCGGTGACCCTTCAAAGTCATTGATGGAGTCAGAATCCGTTTCATGGGAACTCCCTTCATCGATGTAGAAGGCATGTCTACATCTCCATGAGTGAAACTGCGAAGTAGTCAAATATGGGAAAGGTATTCTTTGACTTTGTTCAACAATCCGAAGGTGAGGTCTCTTGGTGTCAATGTATTATGCGACTAACGCTGATAGTAATTTGAAGATGGGCCTCCTGCTAAAACCGAATGGAAGTCTAGATGAGAATTTGGTGTTACTGAGAACTTAGCAGTGAAGATGTTGGGGTTGGGTGGATTCTGGGTGTTGGGCGCCGTCCTGCACATATATACCCTAACACGCTCCTTCTGCACGGCCTATCTGTGCTGTGTACTGCACCCTGAATCCTTCCAATCATCACATTTGCTTCTTCTCACTTTTCGGCACACAGCTATGGCCCACTATGATTACCGAAGTGTCAAATCTGTTTTTCTTTTCCTACCCAACGTTGTCGTTGCTCGTATGTCAATTTCACTTTGGACACAGTTTCCTCATCCTACTGCATCAAACTGTTCTGAGTACGTGCACATCCAAAAGCTTTCTCACTTCCCTACCAACCCACATGACCTTGCAGGTGTGTGGATGTTTTGGCAGCTTCTTTTGTCGCGCCCTAGCCATCTTTAACCTCGCAAAAGTTTCGACATTTGAAGGCGTCTTTGACACTGAGATCAAGGGCCCACTCATGGAATTCAAGATCGACATCACCGTACATCTGTGTATCGAACACCGGAAACTTGAGGATAGAAACGCAATATCTAAACCCTGTTAACGGCTTATATCATAACAACACTCACCACCTGCAAGCACTCGAGGCTGACGGCCATCATCACCTTACAAATCACAAAGCATACAGTGCCGGTTCAACATCGAGGACAGCCACTGGTGTCCTGGAGTTTGTCATTGGCGGTTGACTATGTGAGAGCGTGTCTGTGTCATAAATGGTGCAGTATATACGTCGCCGATGTTGGCAATTGGATCGGATGCCAAAATCCCACTCTAGCTCACCAGCGTGCCAGAATGACAGCCTGAAGCGTGCGCTGTATACATTTATGTAAGCAGTGACTTTACAATGTAATGTGCAGTCGATGATGGGCTCACCTGTGTGATCCTTGTGTTAATTGTTGGGCTTGATTTGTTGGAAGCGATCCGATAAAGTTCGATCCCCAATCAGCAGCGCGTTACAACTTGTGAGTAGCCCTCACATTGGTAATGGTAGTGATTTTTTGTCGATACTTGACTCACCCAAGAGTGCTGAAGCCGATTCAGATCATCTATTCATTCACGCTAGAAGTTTTAAACACACCATCTATTATTAAGCTCCTCAATGTTCAATATTGATTACCTTTACATTTCCTATAATGCTAAATCACTCTACAGAAAAAGGCGAGTAAGATGTAGGCAAACGCAGTGAGACATACAGGTCATTGCGGATGACGGCAAGAGTTCCTGGACTCAAACAAGGATTGTTTAAGAGCCTGTCGATATCTTGCATCACGTGCCTCGCTAACGCTGGCAAGATGGTGTGTATGACGAACAACAGATTGACTCCAAGTTAACCAGCTACGAAAACAGTGTTGACTCAAAAGCCATAGTCGTACGAAAGAAAGGGCATGAAGTTGGTTCAAACAAGGCGGCTGGTTCACGAAATTATGCAAGACCTAACATATGAACTGCTCAACAAATGAAACATTTATGAAGACTGCGCCCCTAGGTATTCGTGGCTACAGCAAGGTGAGATGGTCCTGCCTCTGGCTGTGACTGATGAGTCATCGATTTCAATTCAATTTCCTCGTGCTGGACCCTAAAAGACTACATCAGTGAATGGATTTCATGAACAAATAGGTTTAGTGTACCCGGGAGCACCACTATGGCTGCTATTCGTTGCACCATTTTGGCGAGCTATGTCAACGCGTTCCAAGCGCCATCGAGGAGGCATCCTCAGTCCGCCATGAGATAAACAGGAATAGTGGCACAGGAATGCTGTGCACCAATGCACGTCTGGGAGTGAATCGACGTCGGATGAGTCATTTTGCTGTGGCACGGCAGCTTGTTGGCCAGATGGATATCGGGTATCATCTACTTTTTTGTATTCCGGTAGTTTGGCAGCAGCTAGCCGCTGTAGGGCACAAATCAGCAAACGGGCACAGAGAGGTAAGAAAATGTTAGTTACAGTGAACTTTCGCCCAGGTGCGACTTCGACGACTGGTGCGTGATTATGTTTTGGCACGAGGAAAGAAAGGTGTTGTCGTATGAATTGTGTGACTCCGTTTGAGGGGGGAGGCAGAGAACTTATTTCAAACTGGATACATACTCAGTCGTGCACTGTGAGAATAAAATCAAGACTGACACGGTCAATCTGAGTTGCGGCCTGCCCAGAGAGAGGGGATTGTAGGGGCAAAGTAGCAGGGACCTGTGGGACGAGTGTCAAATCAAATGCGAAAGAAACAAGAAAAAAAAACAGACATCTAAGGGATCACGACTCGGATGTTGATCGTTTTGAACAGAGTGTAGTGCGTTTGTGCGAGGAGCGAAGTGAAGAAGTTTGCTGAGGCGAGGGAAAAAGCGTTCCTTCGGGTTTATCGTAGGTGGGGGTCTCAATGGCATAGGTATGGCAGATATTGCTGGTCTGCGGCGCCCAGTAGGAGGACGAGTTGCACTGGACTGCAATGACAGTGATCAATGAGTGGTGTAATAAACAAAAGATGAAACACGCACATTGAGTAGATCCATGCGGACTGACTTTTTGCGTGCACTTGTCTGTAAGAGAATGTTAGCACACGAGCAGTAAATGTTTGCGGGGGTGCATACGCTGACCTGAGCAAGGACGGCGGGCGGAGTATTGCATATGTAGATCTTGTGATTATCTTTCATCTGTGTCGTGTAAACTAGTTTGCACGAATCGGGTGAGAGGAAAAGAGTAATGGGGTTCTGGACGTCGAAGGAAGCGAGGAGTTGGCGTGACTCCATAGCCCAGAGTTTGATAGAGTAGTCTCTTGAAGCACTGGCCAGAAGAGCTCCATCAGACGAAAGTGCTAGACCAGTGATATTCTGGGTATGCCCTTCGAAGGGAGTTCCAACAGTCTCCAGCGTCGATGCGTCAAACTCGTAGATCGTGCTGATTTTATCAGGATGCACGGGGAAGCTGAATGGGGCTATAATGTTTTTGTTGTTCTTTGTCCAGAAAAGCGGCGTATTTGCAAGTGGTCCAGTACCAGGAACCCCTCTCCTCACATCCAATGTCTGTGATTGGACATCCCAGACCTCAAGGCACGTCCCTAACCACGACTTGACTGCGAGCTTCTTCGAGTCCGTTGAGAATCGAACTGCGCCCGGCCATTCAATGCCCTTGAATGGACCAGCCACGAGTTTGCCGGTACCCAAGTTCCATATCCGTGTTGTATAATCATCTGCCCCGCTCGCCAGGAGCGTGTTGTCCACAGAGATATCAATGCAGGTGATCTTCCATGACCCTTTGAATGTTCTCACGATCCCCGTTTCAACCTTACAGGCTTTCAGTTCTGCATGATCGCCAGAGGAATCTCTGCCACCAGTAACAACCCATCGACCATCCCTTGACACCGCCACTGCCCATACCTCAACCTTACAAACATTCCGCGCTTCCTCGATCTCCTTGCCCGCCTTCATATCCCATTGCCGAGTCGTCTTGTCGTGAGATCCGCTGATCATTCGCTGGCCATCTGGAAAGTAGGATATGGATTGAATTAGTTTTTCGTGACCCTCCAAAGTCATTGATGGTGTCAGAATCCGTTTCGTGGCAGCTGCCTTTCTCGATGTACCAGAAGCCATGGCTATGCCTCCGCCAGTGAAATTGTAAAGTAATCGAGTATGAGCAAGTATTTTTTGGATGTGTGACGGTGCGAATGTGAGCTCTCTTGTGTGCTGTAGACTCGACGTTGACGGTGGTTTTAAGATCCTTAGCGAGCACCTTGCATATAGTAGACCTGATCGTCAGTTCATCCGCATTGGAAGTTCCAATGAGAATTGATATTACCAAGAGGCTATCAATGATCTAGAGGGGGAAATTCCACAAAGCCAGTGGATACAGTTGTCGTGCAGAATGTGCTATCACTCGATTCTACTTCTCCTTGCTTTTGACTGACAGGCTCACAGGCTGTCACAGCCATGAAAATTTCCAGTGCTAGGGCGCCAATCTTGTTTCTATTTCCCACCCACCAGTGTTGCTGTGTGCTTGTTATTGGCGTATCAGCATGGCCTGAAAGTTTTGATATGCTATGGCATCAGCTTTTAGCATTCAACTTTCTTCGTTGGTCACTTTTGCTCCAGATACGTGAACAGTTGCTATTAACATTGTACAGGACAACACGGAGACCACCTCTCTTCATCCATGGTCTCAACTATTCTAATTTCTCAAGTACATACTCGTCCAAGGCTTCACTCACTTTTCCGAAGCACACAACCTTTCGTCATCGACCATTTTTGCCTCGATTGAGCTTCGATCACCTGTGAGTTTATGATGGTTCGAGCTTTAAATGTCCCTCCAACTTTGAGATTGAAAAACTGAAGTGCCTGTCCCATAATTCGAAAGGCCAAGCCTGGTGACGCCGTGCAACACCTGAAACCCATTCTCGAACGCCAGTGGTGCAAAACCTGACGTATGACGGGGGCGGAACAGAATGGTGATGGAAATTGAAATAGGTATAGAACCATACGAGGGGGTTTCGACATCAGCACTGGTACCGGGAGAACGTGAACCAGCCATCTTTATTCTATCTTGAAGGACCGACAATGGGAGACTCAGTCAGACCAGTGCTCGCCTGCATGCTGAATTTGGTTGTCGCAGAATTTGCGAACAGGATAATTGTTTTGTCGACTCCAATGACTCCAATTGACGTGTCTCATTTGCGACATAAGTGTGCTCCAATATTACAAGAGAAATCTTGGGGTGAGCCTACGTTTACTATACAGGTGTGCCTAGGTTTATCTGTCTGGCTGTACTGTAAAAAGATTCCTGAATGCGAGACAGTGCAAGAATCAACTAGGTCTGGACAACGAGTCAAATTCATTGCTGATCGCAGTGTCAGCTCCCTCCGTCGAGGGACGGTTCCAAGGATGAGTAGACCAGCATTGCTCGATAAATTGCCAGTATTGTTCAGGGAGCTCAGGATAACGATATCGGGAAGGCGTTTGCGACTTGGCTATGCAAAGTATGATGGCGGCATCATTCGTGAGGTGATAATAGGGTACTTTGTTGGTGAGGACCTACGAGTGAAGCTCGTGATATCAACGAGAGGTCAAAATTAACCCGGACGTACCTGCAGCATGATACCGCCAAATGAATACATGTCGCTCTGCGCGCTTGGCCGAGCTTGAGACCCATCCTCCCGCTCTCCAAGAAGCTCAGGAGCCATCCATCGCATGTTGCCTTTGAGCGTGGATGTCCAGGAAGCCTGAGAGGCGCTTACAAACTTTGAATACATCAAGGAAAGGCCGAAGTCAGCAACACATGCAGTGCCATCACCATGGATCAGCACGTTAGGCTGGAGCTCATGTCTCAATGAAATTGGGCACATCGAGAGGATCAAACTCACCCCATTGAAGTCACCATGAATGACACTGTTGGCGTGAACTATGAGGAATAGTTAATCACGACTTGATCCGGCAACAGCAAAGTCTATCACATACGATATCGTAGACCAGCTATGATATCCCTTAGCTAAGTTTTCCATCAGTTTTGTGGTCTACCCAAAATACACGAAGAGGGGACTTGCCAGCTGGAATCGTCTAACGAGAGTATGAGCTGCACCCTCGCGTTCTAAATAGACCGTCAAGTTACCATTCTCCGCCTAAGGACTGACTATTGCTAGAAATGGGCCAAAGCCATATGTATAACCAAAACGGGGAGAATGTTTGGATGGTTGAGGTTGGCACATATCCTGAGTTCACGCTTTATCCTCTATGAAGCGGCGCCCCGTGGTGTAAGTAACAGACTTAGTTGTTCTATCAGATACTTACCTTTGTTTTTTTCATCTTCGCTGCCCCCAGTTGATCATCAATGTACACCTGCAATGCTTTCACTGCGACCTGCATGATTATTAATTTTTAGACAGATGGGCAGACAAAAAAAGGCAAACGAACTTTGACTGAACTACGATCTTTGTTATATGTGCATTTCCAGATCTCCCCGAACCCGCCACGAGCAACAGGGTACTCTCCATCCCTAATGATATAATCTGAGAGGTCTTGGAGCGTTGCTTCAGGGAGAAGATTGTCAGGTCCAACATTACGAGCGGAGAAGACTGCATGCGCATTGGAATAGGAGGGAAGGAGCCCGTGGGAGTTGGGGCGTGCCTGGAGTGGTCGTGAACCTACTGTAAAAGTGTGTATCTGCGGTGGAGGGGGAAGGACTATGACAGGCGATATGGTTGCACTTTGGAGATCTGCCGTGGGTCCTCCACCCCACATCTTATCAGGCGACGACTGCGTGTCAGCAGGCCACTGCCACATGTCAGTAAGCGATCGCCCATCAATAGGCTGTATACAGAAGGTTGCATGTGTGTCAGTCCAAGATTCGGACCTTGCGTGACCATGGGCAGAAACTGATGGGGGGAGGTGATAGATTGATGCGGGCTGACTTGTTGCGTGCACTGGCCTGTAAGAAAATGTTAGCACACAAATAGCAAATGTTTGCGGAGAGTGTGCACGCCAACCTTCGCGAGGACGTCGGATGGAATATCACATATGTAAATCTTGTGACCCTTGTTGGCGGATGTCATGTAAGCTAGTTGGCGCGAGTCGGGTGAGAGGATAAGAGTATAGATATGAGCATTGAAGGAAGCGAGGAGCTGACGGGACTCGCAATTCCAGAGCTTGATGACATCTTCAGCAGCACTGACCAGGAGAGCTCCATCAAATGAAAGTGCCAGACCGGTTATAAGTTTGGTGTGCCCTATGAAGGGAGTTCCAACAGTCTTCAGCGTTGATGCGTTGAACTCGTAGATCGTCTTGGCGTTATAGCTATCTGTGAAGTTAAATGCGGCTATGATGCTTTTGTTGTTGTTTGTCCAGAACATTGGCGCGTATGTGAGTTCTCCTCCACCAAATCTGCCTATGCTCACGTCCAATTTCTGTGTTTGGACATCCTAGACCTCAAGTGACTTCCCCATAAATGACTTGACTGCGAGTTTTTTTGAATCTGTTGAGAATCGAACTACGCCCGGGCAATGAATACTCTTGAATGGACCAGCGACGACTTTGCCAGTGCCCAGGTTCCATACCCGCGATGTACTGCCTTCTGACCCACTCGCAAGTAGCTTGCTGTCCACGGATATATCGATGCAGATGATCCTCCGTGAGTGGCCTTCAAATCTTTTCATAATCCCTGTCCCAACATCGCAGGTTTGCAACTTCCCACCATACCAATCTTCACCACCAGTGACAACCCATCGACCATCCCTTGATACCGCCACTGCCGATACTACATCCTTCTCACAGACGTTCCGCGCTTCCTCGATCTCCTTGCCTGCATTCAGATCCCATTGTCGATTGGTTTTGTCCCAAGATCCGCTGATCATTCGCTGGCCGTCCGGAAAGTAAGATATGGTTTGAATCTCATCTCCGTGACCCTTCAAAGTTATTGATGGCATCAGAATTCGTTTTGTGGCAGCTGCCTTCGTCGATGTAGAATCCATGGCTACGTCTCCACAGTGAAACCGTGAAGTAATCAAGTACGAGCAAGTATTCTTTGGATGTGTTCAATGCTGCGAAGGTGAGGTCTGCTGGTGCCGATGTATTATACGATCGACACTGATAGTGATTTGAAGATAGGCCTCCTGGTAAAGCTGACTCTGTCAGTTCATCCATGCTGAAAGTCCAGATGAGAATTTGGTGTTACCGAAGTTAACAGTGAAGACGTCGAGGAGTGGTGAATCCTTGAATGTGGTTCTTGAATGTGAGTGTAACTATTGGCCTTGGACGCTGCCTTGCATATATACCCTGACACGGCCCTTCTGCACGGCCCATCTGTGCTGTACAACCGCCCTGAATTAATTCATCCTTCCATTCATCACATTTGCTTCTCCTCGCTTCTTGGCTCACAGCTATGACTACTATCGGTGTTATTAGAGCGTCAAATCTGTTTTCCTTTTTCCACCCAACTTTATCGTTACTCGTTTGTCGGTTTTTCTTTGGACTCAGTAATACCATCTTTCCTCATCCTACTGTATCGAATTGTTCCGAGTATGCGCCCAGTCATTCATGGCTTTCTCACTCCCCTACCAACCCACGCAACTTTGCAGAATTGCCGATGTTTTGGCAGCTTCTTTTGTCATGCCCCAGTCACCCTTTGAATCCAAAAAAGCTTCAATATTTGAAGGTGTCTGACGTTAAGATCAAGTATCCATTCACAGAATTCAAGGTTGACATCACCATACATTTGTGTGTCGAACACCGGAAATTTGAGAGAGTATAAATGCAATACCTAAACCCTGTTAACGGAAAATATCATAACAAAGCTCACTGCACGCAAGTACCTGAGTTCGACACCCGTCATCACCCTTACAAGACACAAAGCATACAGTGGCAGTCGAGAATGGGACAGCAAGTTAGACACCCATGGAATGGGTGTATCCAA